TTATGAACATTGCTCAACATCATGAAAATTAAACCTTATTTTCAATAAGCAATCCTGAAAAATATTTGGGGGTGCTTAACTTTTTTCCAGGTGTATATATGAAAGAGCATTAAAATATGTTGGCGTTCAGCTATAACAACAAAACATGTGGAAAAATTTGACCACATGGTAATCGGTAAAAATTACGGGCTGGAGATTCCTACACGTGGCAGGTTTTGGTAGCATTACATACACTGCAGGGTATAGAAAGAAAACTTCTTATATGGTAAATAGCTTAATGAAAAACACAAATGGTGTATAATAAATATTTTAGCATAATTCAGCTCATGATTAATGCACAATCAAAAAAGTTGTTGCTTTTTTGTCCAAAATTTACCTCAATGTCATGTTCTTAATTTCGTATTTAAAATATATATTAGTAAACTTTAAAAAAAAAGGTCACTTTCATTATATCATTTATTTCACTGCTTGGATTTAACTTGTTTATGAATCTAACTGCATTAACTAAACTAAGATCAATGTATAAAACAAACAACCTTACACTACTTTAGGGTTAGACTACACTACAAGTGTTTGTCTATAAAATACACAACTTTTTTTCTTTCAAACAATAACCTTTTTTGTACACTAACTTAAATAAAATGACACTGAACATGCTCTGAACATAATCTCTTTATGTGCCAGTTCTCACACACACAAAAAAATACAAACTAATTCAGTACTAAAAAGCTTCATATTCATTGTTTTATTTTATAATTTATGAATATTGGCACTTTAGAATTAGATATACCATATCTTCATAGCAGAAACATAAAGTGCAATACATACAATAGTAATATGAAAATAAAATACATTAAAACAAGTTAAGGAAAAAGAAAATTTGTCCTTGAATAAGCTCTGCTGGTTCTTCATACTTTTATTTTATACGAATTATGTTTTTAATCTTCTAGGACGCTATCTAGCCAGTCTTCTATGGACGTTTTACTTGGCTCAGGTATACCTAAATATGATAAATATTTATAATTATACATGGTGGGAAAATAGATAAACTCAAGTAGGCTAAGCCAATATGTACATTTTAGTCTTCAAAATGGAATACATATTAATATATTTTCTCGGACAGTTCTCTATTTCTAAACAAATCAGTCTTTCTCTACTGCTACATAAATAGTTGATAAACTTATAAGCCTTTTTTTGAATACAAATAAGTTATTACAGGTGAATCCAATACCAAGTAAACCATTACTTCCCCACCATAGCATCTAGAAAAATAAAATAATTTTTCAATTACTATTTAATTTGAAACCTGAAATAAAATGTGATAGAAAACAAGATGGCTTACCTACTCAAAAACACTCACATCCCAAGACTGAATGAAATGTTGACCATGGGACATTTTCAATGTAAATAAAATAAAATAATAATAAAGATTCTAATGATATAAATAATTATCAAATACTCTATCTTTAGATGCTTGAACCTGAATATTCATTCTTGGGCTTGTCTTCATTTGAAGAAAGATTATAAAGTACATTAACCTCTTTGAAACCAGGCATTTTGTATTCCCATGAACAAGGGAAAATTGGAAAATTTGATAAAATATCAAATATTTTATATTTAATTAAATTATTATATCTTTTATTTGAGACAAGTGCTAAAAAGCCATTATCATTGGATTCAGTGTAAAAAATCCTTACCAAAATATGCCTCTCTGTGGTATACATAAGATAGCCAAAATTAAGTCAGAGTGAATAGCATTAAACAAAGTGATATAACAATAGTGCCAGAACCCCACAAGTGTAATGCTAGGCACAGTTAGGCCAGCTAAAAAAACATTTGGACTACCATACAACTTACAGTCTACATAATTTTTGGCCCAATATTTTGTCATATTTTTCACGAACTGACGCATTGTGATAAAACTTAAAGAAATGCACTATAAGGTTTACGATGACTTTGGTATTGCATGCATTGTTATTAAAATATAGCTGTGGATTTAACTTGGAACTCTGCTTAATTCTGAGGCAGTCTTATCTGAATCAATAACAATCCTCTATAGGCACTTTGGCCTTGTATAAAATAGGATATTAATGGTACCATGGTTTCATTTGATAAGATATTGTGCCTAAGCAAATTTTCATTAAAAATGTTACATTAATTAAAGTATAAAACTTCAAGCATTGTATGTTGGTATCTATATAGCAGCAGCAGCTATATAAGGTTACACAAATGTAATTGAGCATAAAACTGGATACAACTTTCATCAACAGATCTTTCTGTAACTAAAATGTCATTCTAAAATCTTATGAATTATAAAAATATTTATTTCAAAATGCACATCCTCACATACCAAAACAGAGACATGTCACTCTAAGATTGTGGCTTTATTGGTGAATGCATTATAACTGATCACAAGTTACTTGTACAGATTAAAAATAAAATTCTACCTTGTACTATAGTGTCTGAGTTCTATTTAAATATCACTAGAGAAAAAATATATTTAAAAAAATTCAAATGCAAAAATGTTAAGGTATTCTATAAATTCTTATACAAAGTCTCTGTCCATGAAGTTTAAGTCAAATTTTTATTTTGAAAATGGTGTGTGAAACGTCCCACAGCAAGTCCGAAATAGTTAAACATAACAATATCCTAGATCTTGTAATGTCTACATGTTACAAGTTAAAGCTATAAGATTTGTCAATCTTTTTGTTGTAACTGTAAAAACAAGCAGAGTTGAAAACTTCTTGATAAAGTATGTTGGGTAGCCAAAAATCTTGGATAATATATTTTTCTGTCTTTTCCTTTAATCAGTGGATTTCATTTATAAAATCTAAATCAAACATGTCTCAAAGATAGCTCAAACAACGTTCTTAAAATAAATCAAGCTGTAGCCTTAGCTGTCCATCTTGACCACCATTTTAGTAGTCTGAATAGTGTACAACCATGAAAATATTGTCTTAAAAATAGTATACAAGTTAAATTTTTAATGAATCTGATAAGGTAATTGATAGCTTGTTTAATTATAAATACTCAAATATTGAGATAAATTTTAGAATGTAGGCTTAAGTTTCAATAACACCTAAAAGTATGTTTTTCTTCTACTAACTTTGAAGTCCTTTTTTTTCTGCAACTTTTAAAATCTTTACCTTTTTTGCATACCAGATAGATAAAGGTTTGATAAGTGAAATATCAAGTTTAACCAGAACTGATTCTTCATTGAAATTTTGAGAGAAATTAATTTCTTCTCTTTATGTGTAATAAATAATTCGTTTTCTTTTAGATTAGTTGGATCTTAGTCTAGAACATAAAATTTTAAAGAAGAATTAAGAAAGCCTTAAAATAATTGTCTTATTTCAAACATTTAATTCTTTTAAAACCACATAAAGGAAATGAGGTTGTTATTCTTAGTAAGGAATTATTACTAAGAACTTCTGAGTAAAGTAAGTACAATACATGAAGTCTGATGAAAAAAATATGGAAATTTTATCACATAACACAAAAGTTTATGTTCTATACTAAGATCCAAATAATCAAAGAGAAAATCAAGTATTTATCAGAAGTTAACAGAAGAAATTTCTCTTAATAGTTTTAATCAAATTCAACCAGTTGGCTCTCACTGCAGCATTTTATATGGTCTGTCTAAAATACAAAAAAATTGTTATTCAATAAGACCTATGGTCTCAAGTATTAAAACTTATAATCACAATTTAACAGTTTTTAGTTGGATTTTGTACAACACCTGTGAAAAGTGAAGTTACAGTAAAGAACAGTTTCAAATATCTGGTACTATGAACAAGGTTGGTCAAAAACAGTGTCCTGAAAAATATAAACTATTTGTTATTTTATTGATGTTTTAATGATACTTGTACACGTAAACCAGGGTTCTGTCTCCTGTGAACTATTTAAAAAAAATTGTTTTAAGCATTAAATTTACTGTGAAGGAACAAACAATTACATTTTTTGGATCTAAACCTTAAAATATTGGGTAACTCTTTTTCTATTCACTTACCATAAAGCTATCTTCACTTTGACTTGTACCTTTTAGTTTTAAGTAACACTTAGAATTTTGATGGAATGTGCACATAATGTAGTTGGTAATCATCAAGGAATCAACATGAATTTTAAATACTTTCTGTAAAGGAATGACTTTCTCATTTCTTTTGTTATTAAAAATGATTTAAACAAATTATGTAACAATACAAAGTGTTCAAACGTTCAGTTTTCCTATTGATGAATACAGATATACAAGTGAAACATATCTGTTTAAGGTACACAGTCAGTAACTCTTTAAATATATTTTAAAAAGGTACAAGGTTGTTTATGATAACACTAATGTTTAGGTAAAGAAATCCTAAGTGCAAGTAGTAATAGCACATTTAATTATAAATTGTGTCACGTTTGGTTACCAACACTAAGATCCCCACAACCCAATTTTTTAAGTAGCTTTCTGGCACTTTACCCCTCTTTCTGACCATTTCTGGCTACAATCTATACAGTCCTGTACCACATAATAGTTGAGTCAAAGCTAGAAAATTTGCAATTTTCTATTTTAAACTGTTAAAAAAAGTATGTTTTAGTTTATAGCTATTTCTCACTGATATTCAGCTCATTCTATAGGTGGATAGCATGTTCGATTCTATTTACATATGTTTCATAAAACTGGCAAAGGAGATGAAATGTTATGAGTTTATACAGCTGAAGTGTAAAGTGCTTGCATGCTGCCAATGGCAACAAAAACGAATTTCACAGGATTACCATTTACAGAAACATCCTGATGAAATGAAAAGATTCCATATTATCAACAAGAGACTCTTATTAATCTGAATTTGCAATAAAAACAAAACTTGAAGATAGCTTTTATATGCAGAAACATCTGTTAGCTGAGTTCTTGCACAGATCTTAAAATATAACATTGATAAACGGAAACATCGGCACATGTAGATATGTAGATCTTGAGAGTCAAGTTGTTCAAAACTTGAAAATAGCATTGATAACTAGACCAACTGTTGGTTGAGATGTTGCAAAGGAAATATCTGCTGAAGCTTTTCGCCAGACACTAATC